GCTCTGACATCCTGTGATGGCCGAATATATGTGTTAGATTGCTTCCAAGGCAAGCCTGAGCTGGTCATGAATTGGCACCCAGACTTGCAACCTTGCGAAACCTACGCGGTGCTCCGGCTTGGAGCCTGAAGCCTGAAGTGTCACCAAAACGAGCTTGGCTCATCGTGCAGACAGCTGTGTGCTCGTTCTAGTTTGAATTCTATGCACTCGCTCAGCACTGGCTCATGTAAACAGTCTTGCCTTGCTGACGCGGCTTTGATGAGGGTTGGGTAATTCGATTGGCAACCGATGCTTTCGAGCCGGTGGTCCACGTCAGGAGCCACCGCACATCCATCAGCAGCGAAAGGAGATGCCAAGCAGGCTCGAAGCTGAGGGGGCACACATATAACAGTCATGACGCTGCCACAACATGTCGACACAACCGTCCACAGTAGTATCCGAGCCACTTTTGTGCTTTTTCTTGCTGGTGCTCCTAAATACACTTGTTGGCACACCTTGCCAAGTCCTTGATCCTTACTAGTCGCGCCTGGGGGCCCCTTGCACGTAGTAGTTAGTAGTTAGTAGCCATTCGTTGCAATCGAAGCAGCCTGCATTGTGGAGGCCGTTCATATCGCCAAGAACAACATTCGGATCTTGCAATAGCTGGCCTAGCCAAGCGCCCAACAGCCCAGCCCCCAGCCCAGCCCAGCCCACTCAGCCCACCCAGCCCCGCCTGGTCCAACCCAGCCCAACGCAGCCCAGCCCACAGCCCAGCCGCCAACGCGAGCCTTCAGCCCTTCCCAGACCAGCCCAGCCAGCCCAGCCCAGAGCAGGACAAAACAGCCCAGCCCAGCCCCTTCCAGGTAGCCCAGCAAGCCCAGCCCAGCCCAGAGCTCAGCCCAGACCAGCAAATTGAAAATGTGGCAAAGAACTTTCGGTCAAAACGTTTCGTTCAAAAGTTTCGTTCAAAACGTTTCGTTCAAAACGTTTCGCTCAAAACGTTTCGCTCAAAACGTTTTTGGCGCCCAAGAGCCCAGCCCCCCAACAAATTTGAAAACATGGTTCGCAAAAAGAAACTCTGTTGGGCACCGGCCAACCCTCCACCTCTTGCACAAGAGCGGAAGGTTGCCCGACCTCGAAAAACTTCCCGGGAAGTTTTTCGAGGTCGGACAACCTTCCGTTCTTGTGCAAGAGGTGGAGGGTTGGCCGGTGCCCCAAAAAGTTATTGGGACCCAAACCCTTAACAATTTCTATAAACCCTCAAGCAACATCGACAGAAATGCCCAGCCAAACCCAAGCCCAAGTCCCAGCCAAAGAGCAAGCCCAAGGCAAAGGTCTTCGGTGCTTCAGCATCAAACAAAGCAAAGGCCAAGATCAGGCCCGAGCTGTCCAAGCTGGTGTGGACCAAGCGATGCGCCGATGCTGACAGCCGCTGTGCCCCTCCTTCGAAGCGGGCAAGGACGGAGAGATGCTCCAGCAGCGCACCATCCATGGCTGCCTGCTCAACTTCCGCAGCTACGCCGCCGACAACCACGAAGACCGACCTCCAAGATGCCTGTGCCAAGCCTGCCAGCACAGACACAAGCCGACGAGACGAGACGCAGGACTCGCCTGCCATCTATTTTGAATCCCAGGTGGAGTTGCAGTGCGGCATCCATGCTTTGAACCACATCTTCGGCGCCCCCTACTTTGATGTTGCAGCAATGGAGCATGCAGTCGCATCGTTTCTCGAGGAGAACTGGGAAGCCGGGGACGAGCAGCAAGCTCACATGGGGCCTGGTGGCGACTACTCCATCGAGGTGCTGATGATGGCCGTGCGGACGAGATCCATGGAGCTCTTCGACAGTCTGTGCTGGCACATGGAAGACCGCCGAGCGCTGCAGCCTGAAGACCTTCACAACTGCATCGGGGCGATTCAGAACCATGGCGGCCGACACTGGACCGCATTGCGGCACTGGAACGGACGCATTTGGTGCCTGGATTCCCTTCGCCCGGCTCCACGAGTGCTGTCGGACGTCGAGCTGGCAGCCTCAATCAGGCAGCACCCGACCTTTGCAATTCGCTTGATCTAAGATTGCAGCTAAGCATGCAGGTACAGTGTGCATACAGTGCGCAGCCTTTTTCACTTTCCAGCTGAGCCAAAGGCCGCGAGCAATTGCACAGGCTCATAGCTAAGGCAACGGCGATCACGGAAGGAAAAAGCTGCATGCATCATTTATTTGGCAAAGAGCCGGCAAGACATAAGACAATATTAGGAAGACGAGTCGAAAAGTTTCTGTACCTGAACTTCCTTCAGCCGAGACATTGCCAAATTGCATGCGTGCTCGGGTTGCTGTGCCGACCGCCAAGTGCTGCATGCCACAACACTGTGGCCCCACGTTTGGGCTCGGCTCCTGGCTGTCGCAGATAGCTGCCCATGTTATTCGGCTCTCCTTTATGCGTGGGCCTTACATGCTCCAAGTCTTCATGACAAGCATTAAACTGTGTGAGCATTGCCTTCCATCGCAAGAGCTGCGGAGGCTTCAGCAGCTCCAGATCAAGCTTGAAGCACAGCCCCGCCCAGCCCACCCAGCCAGCCCAGTGCAGTTCAGCTACCAGCCCAACCCAGCCTACCAGCCCAACGCAGCCCAGCCAGCAAAGCCAGCCAAAAAGGCACAGCAAAAACAAAACCGTCCTCCAAATCCCAGAAACCAAAATGCAAAAGCAAAACGGCAAAACCCGGCAAAACCCCCCAAAACCCGGCAAAACCCGGCAAAACCCGGCAAAACCCGGCAAAACCCGGCAAAACCCGGCAAAACTCCGGACCCAAACCCTATACAATTTCTATAAACCCTTAATCCTTAACCCTAAACCCTTAAACCTTAACCCTTAACCCTTAGCCCTAAACCCTTTTCCCTTAAGCCTTAATCCTTAACCCATACACCCTTGACCAAACCTTATCCCTAAACCCTAAACCCTGAACCCTTAACCCTAAACCCCTAACCCTAAAACCCTAAACCCCTAAACCCTAAACAATAAACCCTTAACCCTAAACCCTAAATCCTAAACCCTAGACCCTCAACCCTTAACCCTAAACCTTTAACCCTAAACCTTACCTAAACCTTTAACCCGTAATCCTTTAAATCCTAAACCCTAAACCCCTAAACCCTAAACCTTAAACCCTAAACCCCAAACCCTAAACCCCAAACCCTTAACCCTTAAGCCCTAAACCCTAAACCCTAAACCCTGGACCCTAAACCCTAAACCCTAAACCCTAAACCCTAAACCCTAAACCCTAAACCCTAAACCCTCAAGAAAGTGATAAATAGAAATTGCTTGTCCTTGTTTGTAAGCACCGCTAAGGCCCAGCATTTCGATTAGAATTGGTGTTAGCTTCTTGATAATCCAATTTCGCACAACCACGACCTCAACTTCTAACTCAGCCCAGCCAACTCAAAACAGCCTCCACAACCTCAACCATTAACTCAGCCCAGCCAACTCAAACCAGCCACCCGATCAAAAACGGAACAAGCTTCTTGATAAACCAATTTCGCACAACCACGACCTCAACTTCTAACTCAGCCCAGCCAGCCAAGCCAAAACGGTCCAGCCCAGCCCAGCCCAGCCGGCCCAACACACCGATTAAAAATTGAGTAAGCTTCTTGATAAACCAATTTCTCCACAAACTTGTAACCACCATTCCGGCCCAACACGCCGCTTAAAATTGAACAAGCTTCTTAATAAACCAATTTCTCCATAACCTCCAACCCAGACCCCAAATCCAGGCCCCAAGACCCAGACGCCAAATCCAAGCACCAAAAAAGGCCCAAAACCAGCCCCAATCTAGGCCCCAAACCCCAAACCCAAATCCAGGCCCAGCCCCCAAATCACACCTTCCCAGACCCAGATCCAGGTCCCTCCCAAACCCCAAATCCAGAATCCAGGCCGAGCCAAATCCAGCCCCAAATCCAGGCCCAGAGGTCGGGCCCCGGCAGGCTGCACACCCGGCAGTGGCTCTTAGCGCACTGCTCATGGTTTCTCTGGCCCAGCCCAAGGCTCCTCGTGCGGGGGCGTGGGGGGGAGGGGGGGAGGGGAGTGGGGGCGGAGGGAGGGTGGAGGGTGGTTGGAGGCCAGGGCCCAAATCCAAATCCCGGCCCGGCTGCGGAAAGCGGTGGCGGAACCCGAGCCTGGGGCAGAGCCTAGGGGCTGGCCTAGGCAAAGCTTAGGGGCTGGCCCAGGCAGAGCCTTGGGGCTGGCCTAAGCAGAGCCTAGAGGGCGGGCACCACCAAACACTTGGGTCTACCTTTTTGTTGGTGCACACCCACTAGGCAGAGCCTGAGGGCTGGCCTAGGCAGAGCCTAGGGGCTGGCCTGGGCAGAGCCTACGGGGCTGGCCTAGGCAGAGCCCAGACACCACCAAACCCTTAGGACAAACCTTTTTTTTGTTGGTGCACACCCGATTTCCTGGGTCTGGCCTAGGGGCTGGCCTTGGCAGAGCCTAGGGGCTGGCATGGGCAGAGCCTAGGGGCTGGCCTAGGCAGAGCCTAGGGGCAAATCCAGGCCCACCCCAAACCCAACAAATCCAGGCCCAGCCCCAAATCTCCAGGCCCCAGACCCAAATCTCCAGGCCCAGCCCCAAATCTCCAGGCCCTAGACCCTAATTCGTTGGGTTCGTTTCGTTGAAAACGTTTTTAGCACCCAAACCCTTAACAATTTCTTCCAGGCCCAGCCCCAAATCCAGGCCCCAGACCGCGAATCCAGGCCCAGCCCCAAATCCAGGGTTTGGGTTCAGCTGCCGTAAAATTGAAAAGATCTTGTCAAGCTAGCGAGAAGCCGGCAATCCTTATCCCGATGTATTTTATGAAGCGCAACTACCTGGAAAGCTAGAAGCCTGTAGTGGTCTTCCACTGTTACAGCGCCAGCAGCTCAAGGGTCTAGGTCCTAGGCCCCCATTCTTCGACACACTGTCCTTTGCCGTCTGGCTTACTTTGTTTGCGAAGGCGAAGTGTCTGAACAACATGCAATCCCAGTAGATTCGTCGCCATGCCTCGCTATTGCCATGGCTTCGAGGATCCATCAGGAGACGGAGCCCGACCATGCATTTTCTCGCAAGATGGTAGAGGTGGACCTGCGCAAACCAGCAACAAGAGCTGCGTACTGTGCAGTCTGGAAAGCCTAGAACTCGCTCTTGGTTCTCGTGTGGCCAGAGGCAATTTGATCAGACAGCTGAAGCACTGGCGGCAAGTCGGGTCGCCGACATATGAAGCGGCATTTGGGTTGGGATCATTGTGTGTGCTATCTGCCAGCGAGCAATGTGGCTTGCGGGCAAAGGCCGGAGAGCGTCCCAACTTCAAGCCATCCAGCAGTTGGTTGCATAAGAAGCAACGGCGCCTGAGGCAGTTCTTGCTCGGCCGAGCAATCCCGCGGACGAGCCTGAGCACCCGCAGCCGAAAATATGTGCAGTCTGCATCAAGCCAGCGCAGTGGTGGCCAAAGCTGGATTCTTCACTATTACTATGTGCACAATCGCAAGATGGCACATCGTCTTGCCACTGCGTTAAAGAAAGTCGCAGGTGGTACAGTTTGGAAGGGGAAGAAGGCGTCGCTGAGAGGATACCGCCAAAGATGGTGGCGAGCTCGGAGGGAACTGAGACGAAGATATTCTGAGCTGATGGCTATGGCTGAAGGGCCTCTTTTGAGCTGCAGAGCCGCGAAGTGGGCAATCGAAGAGGATATACTGCAAGCTGGCTTTCGAGTGCCTCTATCTGGCAGGATGTCATGCCAGAATCATCCGCAATGGAGATTCTTGGCTGAAACCGGTCACATCCTTTACTTCCAGAGTCCGCATGAAAGTCTGGATTTCGCACAGAAACAGTTGGCGAGTGCGACGTGCTCCATCAACAACGCACTGGGCAGACCCACGTGCGACATCACTTTGCAGACGGCCCAACGCCTATTGAAGGCACGCGGTTCTGAACATGATTGGCGCATGTGTGTGAAGCGGGATGGCAAGATACTGTCTCCTTTCGCCGTTGGCTGTGCCCTGGAACAGATTGGTTTCAAATTGCAGTATTGTTCTGACCCAAGCATTTGGCCAGCTGGAGCACAGAGCCTGCTGCAAATCCGTGGCGACCAGAATTCTGGTAATGAGCATTGGGCTGCTCTGACATCCTGTGATGGCCGAATATATGTGTTAGATTGCTTCCAAGGCAAGCCTGAGCTGGTCATGAATTGGCACCCAGACTTGCAACCTTGCGAAACCTACGCGGTGCTCCGGCTTGGAGCCTGAAGCCTGAAGTGTCACCAAAACGAGCTTGGCTCATCGTGCAGACAGCTGTGTGCTCGTTCTAGTTTGAATTCTATGCACTCGCTCAGCACTGGCTCATGTAAACAGTCTTGCCTTGCTGACGCGGCTTTGATGAGGGTTGGGTAATTCGATTGGCAACCGATGCTTTCGAGCCGGTGGTCCACGTCAGGAGCCACCGCACATCCATCAGCAGCGAAAGGAGATGCCAAGCAGGCTCGAAGCTGAGGGGGCACACATATAACAGTCATGACGCTGCCACAACATGTCGACACAACCGTCCACAGTAGTATCCGAGCCACTTTTGTGCTTTTTCTTGCTGGTGCTCCTAAATACACTTGTTGGCACACCTTGCCAAGTCCTTGATCCTTACTAGTCGCGCCTGGGGGCCCTTTGCACGTAGTAGTTAGTAGTTAGTAGCCATTCGTTGCAATCGAAGCAGCCTGCATTGTGGAGGCCGTTCATATCGCCAAGAACAACATTCGGATCTTGCAATAGCTGGCCTAGCCAAGCGCCCAACAGCCCAGCCCCCAGCCCAGCCCAGCCCACCCAGCCCACCCAGCCCCGCCTGGTCCAACCCAGCCCAACGCAGCCCAGCCCACAGCCCAGCCGCCAACGCGAGCCTTCAACCCTTCCCAGACCAGCCCAGCCAGCCCAGCCCAGCCCAGAGCTCAGCCCAGACCAGCAAATTGAAAATGTGGCAAAGAACTTTCGGTCAAAACGTTTCGTTCAAAAGTTTTGTTCAAAACGTTTCGTTCAAAACGTTTCGCTCAAAACGTTTCGCTCAAAACGTTTTTGGCGCCCAAGAGCCCAGCCCCCCAACAAATTTGAAAACATGGTTCGCAAAAAGAAACTCTTTTGGGCACCGGCCAACCCTCCACCTCTTGCACAAGAGCGGAAGTGCCAGGTGCTTGAAGCCAGAAGAAGGCGAGCTTCAAGAGGAGGCGACAACAAGCTCGAAGGACTTACTCTCAGAATACGTTCTCGGCGCGTGGTCTCAACCTGAAGAAGACGGAGGCGGCGACAAGGCCGGATCGCTTATCCTCAACTGTCATGGGTTGCCAGGTTCGTGGTCTGGAGAGAACAGAAGCCGAGACCAGGCCGGAGTGCCTATCCTCAATCAATATGGGGTCCCAGGTGCGCGGTCTCAACTTGAAGAGGATGGAGGCGGGAACCAGGCCGGAGCACTTCTCCTCAACCAATATCGGGTCCGAGGTGCGTGGTCTCAACTCGAACAGGACGGAGGCGAGGAGAGGCCGGAGTGCCTATCCTCAACCAAGATAGGGTCCCAGGTGCATGGTTTCATCTTGGAGAAAAGAGAAAGGACGAGGCCTCAACCAATATGAGGTCCGAGGTGCGTGACCCCAGCAAAAAGACGACGGAGGCAAGGACAAGGCCGGGGTTCGAAGTGCGTGGCCCCAGGAAGCTCAAGCTGAAGAAGACAGAGGCAAGAACGAGGCCGGGAGGGCTTATCCTCAACCAATACAAGTTTCCGAGGCAAGGACAAGGCGGGGAGGGCCCATCCTCAACCAACATGGGGTTCCGAGGTGTGGAAGTTCAAGCTGAGGAAGACACAGGTAGGGACAAGGCCGGGGGGGGGGGGGCTCATCCTCAACCAGCATGGGTTGCCGAGGCGTGGAAGCTCAAGCTGAAGAAGACAGGGGCAGGGACAAGGCCGGGAGAGCTCATCCTCAACCAATATGGGTTTCCAAGACGTGGGGTCTCAGGGTCTCAAGCTGCAGAAGCGCAACGACAAGGCCGGGAGGGTTTATCCTCAACTAGTACGGGTTTCCGAGGCGTGGAAGCTCACAAGTCGAAGAAGACAGAGGCAAGGACAAGGCCGGGAGGGTTTATACTCAACCAGTATGGGTTTCCGAGGTGCGGAAGCTCACAAGTCGAAGAAGACAGAGGCAACGACAAGACCGGAAGAGCTTATCCTCAACCGATGTGGGTTTCCGGGGTGTGGAAGCTCCAGCCGAAGAAGACAGAGGCAGGGACAAGGCGGGCAGGCTTATCCTCAACCGGTATGCGGTTCCGAGGTGTGGAAGCTCAAGCCGAAGAAGACAGAGGCAAGGACAATCCAAGGTATGGAAGCTTGAGCCTCAACCAATGTGGTTGCCGAGGTGTGTGGACTCAGCGACAAGGCCGAGAGGGCTTATCCGGAGAGCTTTTCCTCAAACAAAACCGGGATTGAAGGTATGCAGTTCAGGAGCTAGACCTTCCCCCTCCCCCTCCCTCCCCCTCCCATGCCCTATTCGGAGGGTTTTGACGGCCTCCCACGCCCTCTCCGGAGGGTGGCACGAATTCTCAGAAAAGGTAGCGGGCAGAAATCAAAAAACAATCCTCAACTAAAATGGGGTGTGGGATCTCCCCCCCGCCCCCCTCCCCCCCCCTCCTGGGGCGGGGGGGGTAGTGGGCAGACACCAAAAAACAATCCTCAACCAAAATGGGGCGTTGGTTCCCGCCCCTCCCCGCCCCCCTCCCCCACCCTCCCCCCCTCCCTCCCCCTCCCCACCCGGTGCCTCCTCCGGAGGGTGGCACGAGTCTCACGGGGGGTAGTGGGCAGACACCAAAAAACAATCCTCAACTAAAATGGCTCCCTCCCCACCCGGCGAGGGTGCCCCCCCCTCCCTCCCCCCTCCCTCCCCCCTCCCTTCCCTTCCCCTATCTTGTTTTGTGGGGTAGTGGGCTCCCTCCCCTCCCACCCCCCTCCCACCCCCCTCCCCTCCCAACCCGCTCACTTAGACCGCAACCAGCGTGGAGTGCCTCAAGAAGAGAAGGCCGGGACGGGAACGAAGCCGTGCAGGCTCGCCTGCATGGTGTCCCAGGTACGTGGTCCCAACCCCAAGAAGACCGAAGTGAGGAGGTGAGCGCTGATTATCCTCAACCAATGTGGGGTCCCAGGTGCGTGGTCTCAGTCGAAGAAGGCGGAGGCAGGGACGAGGCCGGAGCACTTATCCTCAACCAATATGGGGTCCCAGGTGCGCGGTCTCAACTTGAAGAGGATGGAGGCGGGGACCAGGCCGGAGCAACTCTCCTCAACCAATATCGGGTCCGAGGTGCGTGGTCTCAACTCGAACAGGACGGAGGCGAGGAGAGGCCGGAGTGCATATCCTCAACCAAGATGGGGTCCCAAGTGCATAGTTTCATCTTGGAGAAAAGAGAAAGGACGAGGCCTCAACCAATATGAGGTCCGAGGTGCGTGACCCCAGCAAAAAGACGACGGAGGCAAGGACGAGGCCGGGGTTCGAAGTGCGTGGCCCCAGGAAGCTCAAGCTAAAGAAGACAGAGGCAAGAACGAGGCCGGGAGGGCTTATCCTCAACCACTATAAGTTTCCGAGGCAAGGACAAGGCCGGGAGGGCCCATCCTCAACCAACATGGGGTTCCGAGGTGTGGAAGTTCAAGCTGAAGAAGACAGAGGTAGGGACAAGGCCCGGGGGGGGGGCCATCCTCAACCAATATAGGTTTCCGAGGCGTGGAAGCTCAAGATGAAGAAGGGCAAGGACAAGGCCGGGAGGGTTTATCATCAACCAATATGGGTTTCCAAGTCGTGGGGTCTCAAGCTGCAGAAGCGCAACGACAAGGCCGGGAGGGTTTATCCTCAACTAGTATGGGTTTCGAGGCAAGGACAAGGCCGGGAGGGTTTATACTCAACCAGTATGGGTTTCCGAGGTGCGGAAGCTCACAAGTCGAAGAAGACAGAGGCAACGGCAAGGCCGGGAGAGCTTATCCTCAACCGATGTGGGTTTCCGGGGTGTGGAAGCTCCAGCCGAAGAAGACAGAGGCAGGGACAAGGCGGGAAGGCTTATCCTCAACCGGTATGGGGTTCCGAGGTGTGGGAGCTCAAGCCGAAGGAGACAGAGGCAAGGACAATCCAGGGTATGGAAGCTTGAGCCTCAACCAATGTGGGTTGCCGAGGTGTGTGGTCTCAGCGACAAGGCTGAGAGGGCTTATCCGGAGAGCTTTTCCTCAAACAAAACAGGAACCTGAAGGTATGCAGTTCAGGAGCTAGCCGACCTTCCCCCTCCCCCTCCCTCCCCCTCCCATGCCCTATTGACGTCCTCGTGCGGGGGCGTGGGGGGGAGGGGGGGAGGGGAGTGGGGGCGGAGGGAGGGTGGAGGGTGGTTGGAGGCCAGGGCCCAAATCCAAATCCCGGCCCGGCTGCGGAAAGCGGTGGCGGAACCCGAGCCTGGGGCAGAGCCTAGGGGCTGGCCTAGGCAAAGCTTAGGGGCTGGCCCAGGCAGAGCCTTGGGGCTGGCCTAAGCAGAGCCTAGAGGGCGGGCACCACCAAACACTTGGGTCTACCTTTTTGGTGGTGCACACCCACTAGGCAGAGCCTGAGGGCTGGCCTAGGCAGAGCCTAGGGGCTGGCCTGGGCAGAGCCTACGGGGCTGGCCTAGGCAGAGCCCAGACACCACCAAACCCTTAGGACAAACCTTTTTTTTGTTGGTGCACACCCGATTTCTTGGGTCTGGCCTAGGGGCTGGCCTTGGCAGAGCCTAGGGGCTGGCATGGGCAGAGCCTAGGGGCTGGCCTAGGCAGAGCCTAGGGGCAAATCCAGGCCCACCCCAAACCCAACAAATCCAGGCCCAGCCCCAAATCTCCAGGCCCCAGACCCAAATCTCCAGGCCCAGCCCCAAATCTCCAGGCCCTAGACCCTAATTCGTTGGGTTCGTTTCGTTGAAAACGTTTTTAGCACCCAAACCCTTAACAATTTCTTCCAGGCCCAGCCCCAAATCCAGGCCCCAGACCGCGAATCCAGGCCCAGCCCCAAATCCAGGGTTTGGGTTCAGCTGCCGTAAAATTGAAAAGATCTTGTCAAGCTAGCGAGAAGCCGGCAATCCTTATCCCGATGTATTTTATGAAGCGCAACTACCTGGAAAGCTAGAAGCCTGTAGTGGTGTTCCACTGTTACAGCGCCAGCAGCTCAAGGGTCTAGGTCCTAGGCCTCCATTCTTCGACACACTGTCCTTTGCCGTCTGGCTTACTTTGTTTGCGAAGGCGAAGTGTCTGAACAACATGCAATCCCAGTAGATTCGTCGCCATGCCTCGCTATTGCCATGGCTTCGAGGATCCATCAGGAGACGGAGCCCGACCATGCATTTTCTCGCAAGATGGTAGAGGTGGACCTGCGCAAACCAGCAACAAGAGCTGCGTACTGTGCAGTCTGGAAAGCCTAGAACTCGCTCTTGGTTCTCGTGTGGCCAGAGGCAATTTGATCAGACAGCTGAAGCACTGGCGGCAAGTCGGGTCGCCGACATATGAAGCGGCATTTGGGTTGGGATCATTGTGTGTGCTATCTGCCAGCGAGCAATGTGGCTTGCGGGCAAAGGCCGGAGAGCGTCCCAACTTCAAGCCATCCAGCAGTTGGTTGCATAAGAAGCAACGGCGCCTGAGGCAGTTCTTGCTCGGCCGAGCAATCCCGCGGACGAGCCTGAGCACCCGCAGCCGAAAATATGTGCAGTCTGCATCAAGCCAGCGCAGTGGTGGCCAAAGCTGGATTCTTCACTATTACTATGTGCACAATCGCAAGATGGCACATCGTCTTGCCACTGCGTTAAAGAAAGTCGCAGGTGGTACAGTTTGGAAGGGGAAGAAGGCGTCGCTGAGAGGATACCGCCAAAGATGGTGGCGAGCTCGGAGGGAACTGAGACGAAGATATTCTGAGCTGATGGCTATGGCTGAAGGGCCTCTTTTGAGCTGCAGAGCCGCGAAGTGGGCAATCGAAGAGGATATACTGCAAGCTGGCTTTCGAGTGCCTCTATCTGGCAGGATGTCATGCCAGAATCATCCGCAATGGAGATTCTTGGCTGAAACCGGTCACATCCTTTACTTCCAGAGTCCGCATGAAAGTCTGGATTTCGCACAGAAACAGTTGGCGAGTGCGACGTGCTCCATCAACAACGCACTGGGCAGACCCACGTGCGACATCACTTTGCAGACGGCCCAACGCCTATTGAAGGCACGCGGTTCTGAACATGATTGGCGCATGTGTGTGAAGCGGGATGGCAAGATACTGTCTCCTTTCGCCGTTGGCTGTGCCCTGGAACAGATTGGTTTCAAATTGCAGTATTGTTCTGACCCAAGCATTTGGCCAGCTGGAGCACAGAGCCTGCTGCAAATCCGTGGCGACCAGAATTCTGGTAATGAGCATTGGGCTGCTCTGACATCCTGTGATGGCCGAATATATGTGTTAGATTGCTTCCAAGGCAAGCCTGAGCTGGTCATGAATTGGCACCCAGACTTGCAACCTTGCGAAACCTACGCGGTGCTCCGGATTGGAGCCTGAAGCCTGAAGTGTCACCAAAACGAGCTTGGCTCATCGTGCAGACAGCTGTGTGCTCGTTCTAGTTTGAATTCTATGCACTCGCTCAGCACTGGCTCATGTAAACAGTCTTGCCTTGCTGACGCGGCTTTGATGAGGGTTGGGTAACGAGGTGCGTGGTCTCAACTCGAACAGGACGGAGGCGAGGAGAGGCCGGAGTGCCTATCCTCAACCAAGATAGGGTCCCAGGTGCATGGTTTCATCTTGGAGAAAAGAGAAAGGACGAGGCCTCAACCAATATGAGGCCCGAGGTGCGTGACCCCAGCAAAAAGACGACGGAGGCAAGGACAAGGCCGGGGTTCGAAGTGCGTGGCCCCAGGAAGCTCAAGCTGAAGAAGACAGAGGTAAGAACGAGGCCGGGAGGGCTTATCCGCAACCAATATAAGTTTCCGAGGCAAGGACAAGGCCGGGAGGGCCCATCCTCAACCAACATGGGGTTCCGAGGTGTGGAAGTTCAAGCTGAAGAAGACACAGGTAGGGACAAGGCCGGGGGGGGGGCTCATCCTCAACCAGTGGAAGCTCAAGCTGAAGAAGGGCAAGGACAAGGCCGGGAGGGTGTATCATCAACCAATATGGGTTTCCAAGACGTGGGGTCTCAAGCTGCAGAAGCGCAACGACAAGGCCGGGAGGGTTTATCCTCAACTAGTACGGGTTTCCGAGGCGTGGAAGCTCACAAGTCGAAGAAGACAGAGGCAAGGATAAGGCCGGGAGTGTTTATACTCAACCGATGTGGGTTTCCGGGGTATGGAAGCTCCAGCCGAAGAAGACAGAGGCAGAGACAAGGCGGGAAGGCTTATCCTCAACCGGTATAGGGTTCCGAGGTGTGGAAGCTCAAGCCGAAGAAGACAGAGGCAAGGACAATCCAAGGTATGGAAGCTTGAGCCTCAACCAATGTGGTTGCCGAGGTGTGTGGCCTCAGCGACAAGGCCGAGAGAACAATCCTCAACTAAAATGGGGTGTGGGGTCTTCCCCCCGCCCCCCCTCCCCCTGAGCGCCCTCCCCCCTCCTCCTGGGGCGGGAGGGTAGTGGGCAGACACCAAAAAACAATCCTCAACTGAAATGGGGTGTTGGTTCCCACCCCTCCCCGGCCCCCTCCCCCACCCTCCCCCCTTCCCTCCCCCTCCCCACCCGGTGCCTCCTCCGGGGGGGTGGCACGAGTCTCACGGGGGGGTAGTGGGCAATCCTCAACTAAAATGGGGTGTGTCCCCACCCTCCCCCCCCCCCTCCCCCCCACCCGGTGCCCCCTCCGGAGGGTCCCCCCGCTCCCTCCCCCCCTTCCCTCCCTCCCCTTCCCTCCCCCGAACCCCGCACCGCAAGGCAGTGACCTCCCCACCCTCGCAGGGGAGCACACATGTGTGTGCGGGGGAACACACACGTGTATGCGGGGGAACACACATGTGTGTGCGGGGGAACACACATGTGTGTGCGGGGGAACACACATGTGTATGCGGGGGAACACACATGTGTATGCGGGGGAACACACACCTGTGTGCGGGGGAACATACATGTGTGTGCGGGGGAGCACACATGTGTGTGCGGGGGAACACACATGTGTATGCGGGGGAACACACCTGTGTGTGTGGGGGAACACACATGTGTGTGCGGGGGAACACTACCTGGAAAGCTAGAAGCCTGTAGTGGTGTTCCACTGTTACAGCGCCAGCAGCTCAAGGGTCTAGGTCCTAGGCCCCCATTCTTCGACACACTGTCCTTTGCCGTCTGGCTTACTTTGTTTGCGAAGGCGAAGTGTCTGAACAACATGCAATCCCAGTAGATTCGTCGCCATGCCTCGCTATTGCCATGGCTTCGAGGATCCATCAGGAGACGGAGCCCGACCATGCATTTTCTTGCAAGATGGTAGAGGTGGACCTGCGCAAACCAGCAACAAGAGCTGCGTACTGTGCAGTCTGGAAAGCCTAGAACTCGCTCTTGGTTCTCGTGTGGCCAGAGGCAATTTGATCAGACAGCTGAAGCACTGGCGGCAAGTCGGGTCGCCGACATATGAAGCGGCATTTGGGTTGGGATCATTGTGTGTGCTATCTGCCAGCGAGCAATGTGGCTTGCGGGCAAAGGCCGGAGAGCGTCCCAACTTCAAGCCATCCAGCAGTTGGTTGCATAAGAAGCAACGGCGCCTGAGGCAGTTCTTGCTCGGCCGAGCAATCCCGCGGACGAGCCTGAGCACCCGCAGCCGAAAATATGTGCAGTCTGCATCAAGCCAGCGCAGTGGTGGCCAAAGCTGGATTCTTCACTATTACTATGTGCACAATCGCAAGATGGCACATCGTCTTGCCACTGCGTTAAAGAAAGTCGCAGGTGGTACAGTTTGGAAGGGGAAGAAGGCGTCGCTGAGAGGATACCGCCAAAGATGGTGGCGAGCTCGGAGGGAACTGAGACGAAGATATTCTGAGCTGATGGCTATGGCTGAAGGGCCTCTTTTGAGCTGCAGAGCCGCGAAGTGGGCAATCGAAGAGGATATACTGCAAGCTGGCTTTCGAGTGCCTCTATCTGGCAGGATGTCATGCCAGAATCATCCGCAATGGAGATTCTTGGCTGAAACCGGTCACATCC